AGGGTCATCTCGTAAAAGATTTGTGCGATTTTGTGGTTGATTTCAGCTTCTTTTATATTCATTTAGAATTTAAATTGTTACAAGCTGTTTATGAGATATTATGCAGTGATTGTTTAATTTCCATAATCAAGCGTCCCAACCAAAATAAGAAAGGTATCAACATTTCAGACGATCAGGTATTAAAAATCTGGACTACTTTTCTGTTCAAGCATCATTAATTAGTGTCGAAGATCGGCGTCTCAGTAAGGTTGAGAAAATATTTTTTGTTGTTTTGCCGTAAAGATTTTCGTACTAATTATGCTTCTTTGCTAATTTTCAGGATGACAATGTCGATCCTACCAATCCGGATCCATCTGTTGTGGTGCACGTCAGAAATTTATGCCCGAAAGCTACCGAAGCCGATTTGCTTGAAGCCCTGACGCATTTTGGAACCATCGCTTACACGACGGTAATGACAAACAAAAGGATGGCACTGGTAGAATTTGAGGTCGGTCCTTAGAAGTTTATTGACGAAAGTTTTACTCAGACTTTTGTCGTTTTAGGAGCTATCCAGTGCACAGAATTGCGTACAGTACGCTCAGAATAATCCAATATACGTCGCAGGCCAACCGGCTCTGTTTAACTATTCCACCAGCAAAATGATCCAAAGAATAGGGTATGGTAGTTCGTTGATATGAATTTTTATTTAATAACCTTAAATTCAACTTAGACTGGAATCTGAACATCCAAACTCAGTTTTGGTTCTCACGGTGTATAATGCTCAGTATCCCATTAACGTGGTGAGTAATTTACTGCATTTGATATGACCTTAGTAACCTAGGCAGTAAAGAAAAAAACTTAAGAGTAATGATTATCTTGCAGAGGATCTAAAACTTAAGTTAAAATTAAAATTTATAAAATTTTATTGCACTTTGATTCATAATTTATTTACTGTCTGAGCTTAGAGCGTAGTCACTGATGATCGGGATCAGGATTTAAAACGAATCGACATCTTCAGGTCCCTGTAGGATTGATCATTTAATGTAGTGTCCACTCATTTGACTTGTGTCAAAATCAGAACTTTGATTCAGAGGAATTGATGTTTAAGGCGCCTGACGTTGCAGGTATGAATATGTTTCTCGTTCTTTAGTTGGTGCCGTTGACTGCTCTGATCGCATTATCTGAATGGCGTTGTTAATGTTTCCTGTATTATACCACGAGAGATGCTTTGCATTGGATCCATTGCCTTGTCATATATTTCTGTCTCCGCAGGTTTGTCCAGAAAGGAGTTATTCATAAGGCACAGAAAAATTTAGTCTTCTGATGATTTAGTCTTTTGATATTCTGATACAGAAGCTGAGAATTTCCTATGAATACCCTTGTTCTTGTTAACTAATAATTCGTAGTGGCGAAACCCGTTGGCAATAGTAGCTGTACGTCGGCTTTGTTAGATCCTCAACCATGGGTTAGCAACTTCGTTACTGTACGTCATCGTTTGAAAAGATCCTTTCTGTATATTATACAGAAATGTAATTGATGGCTCACTTTTCAATGTCTGGTAGAATTGTGTTCGAAACAATGTCGGTTTTCTGGGTTCATTATGCATACAGGAGCTTCCAGAAAATAAGTTAAAAAAAGAAAGTTTGTAGCTGTTGGAATTTCGATCTTCATACTTTCATGATGCAGCCATTTCTGGTGCCCTTTTCATAAAGTTAATGATAGGGGTTGATCTCTGTTTCTCGGCCATGGGCTAGGAGTGCCCTATCTTAAAGGCAGAGTCGACAGCAACTGTGTGTCAAGCATAGTATGTAGTTTCCTGTTTCCTTCCCATACGTCGTATTCATCAACATCAGAATAAAAAATGCCAGTAAATCATACTGGGGATAGGATTCGGAACCGCCCGGTTCTAAGTCTGAAACTCTGCCGGCTCAGCAACCCAGATCTCTAACCAGTTGTCATGTGTTATTCCAACCCCTCAGTTTACTTGACAGTAATTTTTCTCCGTTTTCTGTTTCGCGGTGCCATTCGTCCAGCGTTTTCTCGACCTTTGCATCGGACTCCTCTCAGGACGGAGCCTTGAAGTATCATTTACACACTTCACCGTCGTTATGTTTCATGAAATGGCCAAAGAAAACTTTTTGTCTTGCAGTACCATCTTGAAAAGCAAAGGATGGGTGTCGCTTTGTTTAACAACTGCTTATTCTTTGGCTTTAGCCCATATGCGAAAAAAGCGCATTTCATATTAATCATGGATTTTCATTAATAATTATTACCATAGTTTTTGAGAAGAACTGAATTCCCTAATTGGTTCGTTTTAGCCAGTGTGGTATACCAGGTTCACTGTTATCAAGGAAACCGTATTTATGTTATAACGACATGTAAGTTGCTCATTCATACATTACAGCATATAATTACTACGATAGCAGATGCAGAGATCTATGAATGTGAAAGAGGTCAGCTTAACGTTCTTTTTAGTCATTGCATATTTTTGCTAATTCATTCAGGGCGTGCAATACTTATTTTAGTTCGAGTGGTATCTGCACAACCTGGATATGAATAGCTGGATGCATTCTACTATCTTACCCACAACCCTAGCCCTGCCCTTATTTCAGTTAACATTAATTGATTAGGTCTGGTATTTTTTCTACTCTGATAATTAATTTTGCTTTCTGTTTGTGTATTTGCTTGGACAAATTAGTTCTTATGTACGTTTTATTTTGTATTATTTTCTTGAATTATTATTTCAGAATTAAAATCTTTCTTCCACACCTGCCTAAAAACCATTATTGTTAAAGTTTTACGTTATGTTTATGAGTTACCGTAACACTGGGTAAAATTAAATTTTAGGATGTTATCCACACTATTTGTGAAAGCCATGGACAGGTTTTGCGAATCGCCATCATACGCAGAACAATGCTGCAGGCTTTGGTTGAGTTCGATTCTGTGGAATCCGCGCGTAAAGCGAAGTACGTACTGAACGGAGCGGATATTTACTCAGGCTGCTGTACGTTGAAAGCCGAATTTGGAAAGGTAAAATTTTTTACATGTAATCATCAAGTTTAAAATTATATTGTCTTAAGCCTGATCATGTAAAAGTGACCCGAAATGACCAGGACCAGTGTGATTACACGCTTCCAGCAGGTAAATGGCGTTTAATCTGTTGAATCTACCGTTTATGCATTATCATTCAGCAAATATGTGTAAATTTGAGAGTTCCGTGTTCTCTCTCATCGCAGCAATTACCGCAGCAGATATTATGCTACAAACGAATGCTGACATTGTGCATTGTTCATTAACACCAGAACGTTCGCGTATCGTTTGAACTTGCAGTGTATTTGGCGGCAGCGTATTATCGATATATCTATCAATTTGTCAGGCACTCATTGCTGGGTGTACATGCCTGACTGAAGGCAGACGAACAGCTGGATGATTCACGTCCACGTATTATATTTGTACGTCGACTCTGATAGGAGAGAATGCAGACGAATCGCACTGCATATTGTAATACTTGTGCGGACGTGATTCATCTTCCGTCACTCATCATCACCACCCACTACGTACAAGTGCAGTGCAGTACACGCACCAGTGCAGTGAGGAAAATCGAATCAGTTGCACATACGGTCAGTCACAGTAAAATACTGCAGTGCAAAGAAGACACGTACCAGCACCAACACGTGATTTGTGTGTGTATTTTCCCAAGTAAGTTAACGTTTTCTTCTCCAGGACTTCCTCGCTTGGTACTGATGCTGCAATTCTTGCGCACTTGGCAGAAAGCGAAGTTGCCGTTGTTATTCTCTGCTATTATCTGCCTTTAGACAGTAAGTTCAAACGCCCTGCTGTTTTGCTGCCTGGAGTCTCGTCGTGGTTGTAAAGCGTTTTCTTCATGCAGGTCGTTTCTTTTAGACCAACAGCCTTCAGCACCGTATAATCATGTCGGTGCTAAGGAACAGCGGAGATCTCTACTGGGACCTGCCACACGTAACGGTGGACCGGGTGGGCCTCCACCGGGTCCTCAGATGGGAAATTATCCGGTGACTCCCGTTGGCGGTTACATGGAAAAAGGTGATTCTGCGGTGGTTACTCTTGAAACCGATGATGTATTGTTGCCTGATTTATAGGTTACAATCAGTATCCACCGCACTATGGTCCACCGGTCGGCAGAATGGGCTACGGCGGTCCTGGTATGATGCCGGGTACTTCGCCTGGTTATGGCGGTCCGCCAATGAATCAGAACCCCTACGAAGGGAGTGTGGTCATGGTGTATGGCATTGACCAGGAAAAATGGAACTGTGACAAGCTATTTAATTTAATGTGCTTATATGGGAATGTTTTGAGAGTAAGAATTTAGCTGGGCATGTTTCTCGATTCATCACCGTTCTGCTTTGCTTAGATAAAGTTCATGAAGTCTAAGGTCGATACTGCGATGGTTCAAATGGGCGACGCTCAGCAGATGCAAGCAGCCATTGATTTCTTACACGGCACTGCTGTATTTGATACGAAGCTGGCTTTGAGGCAAGTTTTTTCAGTAATCAACCAATATTGTTCAGTCTCTTCACTTTTTTAAGGCCTTCGAAACAAACATCGCTTCATGACATTCGGGACCCGTTCGATCTCCCTGACGGCAGTCCTTCGTTCAGAGACTATACACGAAGCAGAAATCAGCGGTTTTCAACTGCGGAGGCGGCATCACGCAATCGCATTGTTCGTCCAACGAAAGTGTTGCACTGGTTCAACGCTCCTGCGAATATGACCGAGGAACGGCTAAAGCAGGTGAGCGTTTTCGAGTTTTGGTTATGCTGGCACCTGACTAAGAAACGTCTTTATATTTTACGACCAACCTACTTGGTTAACACAAAATTGTCATGCAGAATGATACGCACACGTCACTGCATTGAGTGACGCGGACCTCGTTGCGCCGTACCTGTTCTTCTAGATGCCGAGGGGACCATTTGATGAGACCATGGCTCCTCGGTATTTGAGCCCTTGCAATGCATGCGTGCAATACCTATGTCTGAATTGGGTGAAACAAAGGCATGTTCGTGCATCAGCGCGAAGTAGTAGCTGGAGCAAAATGCATGCGCGTACATGACATCAGTGTTTGTTAACTCAAAAGCCTTGCAGACACTGTGTACGACTAATGTCGTGTTACATCGTAGATAGAGAATGACCACCGGGATTCGTTTTACCCGGTGATCGGCAGCTTTGCACCGTCCTCTTGCTTCATGACGATTAAAGGATTATTTAATAAGATGTTTATTCACTTGAGCAGCAGAGTTGCTGTCTGCGTATTCTGCTATTCTCTGTATGAAAAACAATTCAACAAGGAATAAAAAACATCCCTCCCCAACTAGCTATTTGCTGTTGTTGATTTGTTCTTGTTCTTTTGGCTTTCTGATTGTCCTTGAAACCGGCGGTGTAACTCCTAGTAGCTTCCGATAACGTTTACCATGTGCGAGGTGGTTTTCTGAATCTGTTTATAACGGATGGTTATCGTCACCAGCGACCGACTCTATCAGTACGGTAGGAATGATGCAATCCATTCAACATTTTTGACCCGATCCATTTTGCTAATGCAAGAAATCAACAGGACCGCTGGATGTAAGATGCTGTAGCATTTTTTCCTGAGACCGACAACAACAGCCAACATAAATGACCTGAGGCATATGAGATTGAAGAGGTGAACCATCGCGCTTGCAGGTGATAACTAAAAGTTTTTATCTGGACAGGTAGTTCCTTTGTGTATTTTGGTAAGCACTGAAGTAACTAGATTACTCTGTTCTAAACGTTTATTCAATTAGACACCTAAATACTTGATGGTTTGTGTGCTTGGAACCAGATTTTCTTCTGTCGTGAGTTTGTGCTCAACGGTCGATAGCAGCTGTGTTGAGCGGGTATTTTCGTAATGCTGGTCAGCTGAAAATTCTTCTTATGGTTGATCATCAGATCGTTGTTTCAGATGTCTTTGTCGTTATGGTCGGGGACATCTTCCGGCTACGCTGAAGCGGTGGCTTCTCAGTGAGCTGAGGTCAGCGCCATATCATTGGCATATCTGACACAGGCTAATAATACAGTATTTATGCATTCCGGTTGCATGGTTGTGGAGCTATTTCACATAGTTCAGCTGAACAAAGGGTGATTTGTGCGCCAGCGAGGTGTTACGTCTCGCTATAAGATGCAGGTGGCATCAAAATATACTGTGGCTAACGCTATGCTATTTTTATTGTTTTACATGTGACATCGTTTTATGATTTCAGTTTTTTTGCATTTAAGTTTTAAGCCTTGACTTGTTGAGACCGATAAGGCAAAATATTTTTTCTGATGCAGGAGCTAGTTTGAGCTTTGTGCCATGTGGTGTATGGCTTTGTAGTGTAAAGAAAGTTAAGTAAACGAACAGCTTTAAAACTAGTGTCCCCAGCGGAACCTTAAATGTTCAGTTTTCAGATCATTGAAGAGGGCGACGCTCTGGCACCAGAAAAGATCGTGATTTTTCCCATGAAGTCGGATCGCAGCTCTTCTGGCATAATCGAGTTCGACACGGTCGAGCACGCGGTTGAAGCATTGATAAAATGCAATCACACTCCTGTGGAAAGCCCATGTAAGCCGCGTTGTGTTTTATTTGTTTTCCAGTCTTCTCTGCGCACTGACGTATTTTTAGTGGGAAAAATTCCGTACATTTTTAAGTTGGCTTTCGCAAGCGGTCGTGATGGCAAGGAATACCGAAACATATAAGTTGTTTATCCCGGACAGTCTGTGGCAATCAGATGGTGTCTTAGTGTCGGTCGAGTCTTTTTTGTTTTACATCAATATTGCCGTCTGAAATATATCTGTTGAATAAACATACTGAAGCTGCTGTGTTGTGTGCTTGCGTTTACATGAAAATGATTCAGGCGGCATGTCGACAGCCGTTAAATTATGGACATGACTTACATTTAAATGGTGCCTAACCATTCCATAGCTGAATTTTCATCGATTTTAGATTTAAACTGAATTTTCTTGTCTGAGAGGCGAGTCAACCTTGATGTCTTTAAATACGATCTGAGGTTTTTGATCGAAGGCCGTTGTTGCCACCGTAGATAATTTGTTGATTAGTGATTAAGAGCACTAGCGAAAGCCGACATAAGCGCTGTTTTGAATTATTGCGTTACCACACTATCATCAATGAGGCACAACTGATAATGCAGGCAACCAGCCATGACCTTATCAATGCTGATTAAAATTCCAGCGACCCCAGTACGCCTTAATCCGGTAACATTTAATCTACTAGATTACTAGTGCCTGCAGTCAGGAAGTCTGTTTTGATAAAGGAGAGCTTATGTTGCCATACACCTGGTGTAAATTCTCTGAAGGTCGCCACAGATGACCAAAATAAAATAAAAGGCCCAAACTGTCCTTTTGCGCTGGTTTAAACCTTGTGCTGACCTAACTCTCATGTGATAACTGGTGACTTATTGCTTTGTTTTACGGTGGGGCACCAGCTCGCATTGACAGTAGTATTGCCATCGGCTGCGCTGCTCGGGCGGGCTTGAAAATGGAATGTCCTTGGTTCAAGTGGATGCACAAAAAAGAAGTTGCACGTGTTTGGCCTTGGAACCGGAGCGCTCTTCTCACAGTTGTATATGCGAAATAATGGACATGCATGAAAAGAAACTAAATACGTAAGGAAAAACGCAAATGGGTAGATGACGATCGGAAATATTTGCTGATGGCCTCGCCCACGCGCCGCCCTGGCAAACTTGACCGACTATTTTATGGCTAACGTTAATGCTATTAATTAGAGAACATTTCTGAAGACAGTTGTAAACGACAGCCTGTCTCTCAGAATCAAATGAGAAAAAACAGTAACCGTTTTAAAGTGTTTGTTCATGATAAGCACATTTGATTTACGGCCAGCTGCACCTTTCCATATTTACTGCTATGTAACAAGGAAGGACGGCAGGGAAATTTCGTAACCATTCAGTCTTACTTGCACTTTCATGATGAGGTCATTTTGATACTTTTCGTTTCGTGAATCTGAGCACCATATTTTAAAGGTAGAGTCGATAGCATCGATGTGGCAGGCATGCTACGTAATTTCCTGTTTCTTTCCCGTGGAGATGTACTCATTCATAAATGTTTGAAGGAAGAAATGCGAATGAGTTTGACGGAGGCTCAGACTCGGGACCACCAACTAGGGTTAGAAAACAAGCACAACCAACAGTATCAATAAAATCGTCTCTTACTTGTAACCTCTATAAATACATACGTATTTCAGCCCATGTTATACGCAATTCATTTTTCCGTGTGTCCAATTCCATTCGAATACCCCGCATCATTGTTTTCGCTATCGTCATCATTTAGAGCACCAAAATCAGAAGAATAGTCTAGCGTTTAAAGTGGATCTCAGATTTGCATCAAATAACGGTCGCTGCTGCGATAAGGTCGTGTTCTGCCTCTCAGCGAGATGTCTAGGGCTAGCAAGTTGTTCCCATTTTGAATATGCGTGCAGTTTCTTTTTTCAACCGTTTTATTAACCCAAACAAGGTCTGAACTCTTCCGAATGTTTTCCGAGAACAGTAGTCGGCGTAGCGCTTGGTTTTTTGTGTTCAGGTGGTAGTATCGCACTACGAGCGAATTTCTCAGATACCACTATCGGAAGGCCAACAGTACAGCTTGCCAGGCCTATCCCATGGATCACTTCAGGATCAATGCAGATGTCACCAGCGAAGACCGTTCTGACCTACTTGAAACGGGTCACTTTCATTCCCATACAACTCCACAGTTTCCTCAAGTTAACCGTCGCGGCCGTGAGTTTCGTGATCTTCTTATCACCGACTTGTAACCGACTCTCACAGCTGTTGCACACCGTTTCGGTAAATGTCAGTAATCAACGGAAGTACGGTCTGCAGGTAATACCGCGCGTATCTTGATCTTCGTTGGTGAACCAAAGAAAGCACGTCGTTGTCGTTTCGAACGACGCTCTTCCGCACTGCATAATCAACCATCATATTAGACAACAACGGAGAGAGCACTTCCCTGTCTTCGATAACAGAATGACAAATTTTTTATAGTTAGAGCTGTTCTATCGACATCGGATGAAGGTGAATTTAAGAACGCCATACAGAGAGCAGTGTTGTTCAAATATTGCTATTTGTTTTAGCGATTTTAAGGCTTATAAATTCTGCATGAAACAAATTTTATAATTCTCTATCCTGTTGAAGAAAACAGAAACTGCGATACAGTTGGCTGGTTAAAGAAAACTGCTTTTAACAAGCACAAAATTTTGTCATATGTTGTGAGTTTAACAGGCGAAGCCGAGTGAGGAACTGGTTTGAAATTAATTTCTTAATTGAGTTAAATAAATATTTTCATTTATTACTTGAACGATTTAGATCAGACTGACAAGTGGGCGATAACTGCTCAGTTGAGAACAAGATCCGCAGCGATCGTTCGTGTAACGCAGGTAAACCACATGTAGAGTAAACGATCTGTCATACGGATAGGGAGCCTTCACTGGTACTAGATTCGTTGTTTGGAAGGGAGGAACCAGAATGCACTGGTGAGTTGCGATTCAAACGCATTGTTGAGGTGTACGTAAGAGTAAATCATATGATAGTGAAAAACAAGTCAGTCAGTCAGTCAGTCAGTCAGTCAGTCAGTCAGTCAGTCAGTCAGTCAGTCAGTCAGTCAGTCACTCCCAGTCAGTCAGTCAGTCAGTCAGTCAGTCAGTCAGTCAGTCAGTCAGTCAGTCAGTCAGTCAGTCATTCAATCAGAGTCAGTCAGTCAGTCAGTCAGTCAGTCAGTCAGTCAGTCAGTCAGTCAGTCAGTCAGTCAGTCAGACAAGTCAGTCAGTAAGTCAGTCAGTCAGTCAGTCAGTCAGTCAGTCAGTCACTCAGTCAGTCAGTGAGTTAGTCAGTCCGTCAGTCCGTCAGTCCGTCAGTCCGTCAGTCAGTCAGTCATTCAGTCAGTCAGTCAGTCAGCTTCAATCAGTCAGTCAGTCAGTCAGTCAGTCACTCAGTCAGACACTCAGTCACTCACTATGTCAGTCACAGTCAGTCAGTCAGTCAGTCAGTCAGTCAGTCAGTCAGTCAGTCAGTCAGTCAGTCAGTCAGTCATTTCAGTCAGTCAGTCAGTCCGTCAATCCGTCAGTCCCTCAGTCCGTCAGTCAGTCAGTCAGTCAGTGATTGTGATTCAGTCAGTCAGTCAGTCAGTCAGTCAGTCAGTCAGTCAGTCTGTGAGTCAGTCAGTCAGTCAGTCTGTCTCCCAGCAGTCAGTCAGTCAGTCAGTCAGTCAGTCAGTCAGTCAGTCAGTCAGTCAGTCAGTCAGTCAGGCAGGCAGTTGATTAAAACAATGTAATGATCAGGTTTAACAACAGATGACACTATGGGCTGAGTTCTAGCCTGAGCCTCGAATTTTCCGTTGTTACACATATTCCAGGTGATAAAAAAGTGTGAATTACGTGCAACTGTCACGAATATTAGCGCAATGTCTCTTTTCGTAAAAAGGATTGTCGTTAATGTTCCGTGTCATGTTGACATC